TCCATCCATTACACAGCTCTAACATGTAGGAGGCTTCTGGGGACTACAACTATCACCATAGCAGTGCAGAAACTCAGAACATAGGAACCTGTAACAGTTCAGGGTATTTTTTTGGCAGCTGCTAAGAACATAGCTTTTTCTGACCCATTCAGCAGGCCTGGAAGTGTGTGAACAGTTGGGCTTGGGGTATCAGGAACTATGCAGAAGGTTTCCTGTGAAAGTAACCTACAGGCCAGAAGAGAAACTGTGTCTCACCACGGGAAGTGAGCAAAGGAAGAGATTATTTGAGGTTACCCAGAGCGTGATCTGTGCATGGATCAAGCAACAGAAGCACAGTGCACAGGAAAAGCTGCAAAACACTGTGTGATTGCAATGCCCAGGAGGCGTAAATAGAGGACAGAAAAAATTAATCATACATGTAAAAGGGGAAAGGCAATTTTACTGCCGTCAAAACAAAAATGCTCCCTGTGCTTAATCCAACCTACTCAGACTGCTGCACGCGGACCTTCCCTTGCTGCTTCAGCAGGCCAATTATCAGAAACTTCTGACACTGGTGTTTTTGTCTCACACTTTAGTTACTGTTCCCTTTTCCAATTAATATATCCTTATTAGCCTTCTTCTTTACTCCTTCTACTATTTGTACATGTTTCAAGTCCCCTGGCTGGTTGTTCACCTCTACTATGTGTAATTGACAGCTTTAAACTTTCCTGCTTATTGTTTTAATTGCCCTCCAAGATGAATGGAGACAAATGCCTCAGCTGGTGTTGTACAAACTCAGCTCTTTCTCCAAGTATATCTGCACTTTATTTACAAACCTCAGCAGTTGAAGATATCAAGTACTTCTTTTTGTTAGCATTTCCATAGAATGTCATATCAGTAGATGAGAATGCATCAATCACATCCTTTTCTTGCTATGGGATCCAAGTGCATTTTAACTGTCTCCATATCCTGTTAATGACTCAGTTTTGCATACAAAGCTATCCTACAACTTTATTTATGTTATATTGACATGTAAAGAACACTGGTAAAAACCAAAATAATCTATGCTAGACAATTCACAAATCTAAAAAGATTACAACCTGACTTAAATCAACACTTGGTTTTATATTATTTACATCTACTTTTAAGACATGCATATTCTCATAGAACTACTCTTCCATTTGCTATAATACAAACATCTCTATGTTTATGGACTTCAGTTGCACCACCTCACCTGGCAGCCCCCTCTCACCTCAACTCAATATACTGTTCATAATTATTGGTACAACTCTGTCGTTACCTCTGCTACATTCATATTTCATTGCTATACATCTCCGTATCTCCAGTTTCTATACATACATATAGATAGAGAGCATATAGCTTCTCTACCTATATAATATGTATGTACCAGATGCACCCAATGTTTTTCAGGGTACAAACTTGGAGAGAACATAAAACACATTGCCATGTAGCCCCTTTGAGATTACTGCTATCTTCACTGTGGCTGAGAACAGCCATGATAAGAAGCACCAGTTATATTTTCATGGAAAGAAGCCTACAATACATATACAGCTCAAAGTTTCACTACTCTTGCAAAGTTTAGCTGCTCACTTTTGGCATAACCAATTTTCTTGAGTAGGCTTCAACATTACCATTAAATTACAGGTTAATCTTTAAATGCAGAATTGCAAATATTAATTTTTCTGGTTTTGAGCTGTGCAGGCATGGCTCTCGCAGCTCAACCAAAACATTACGTACCACTTCAGCAAAAAATGTGATGTACCACAGTTACAAGGATCTGATCAAAAAGCTTTAAAGTAACTTGGCATCCACACAAACATTCTTAGAGAATTTTTGAAATACTTTGATAGCTATAGCAAATATTTCATTGCAAACTTATGATGGCATACATGGTTTCTATCAAACATTCAGCATACTTATTATCTCTGATGAAAACAAACAAATGAAAACAAACAAGAACAGAAAGAAAACTGTAGAGGAAGAACTCTAATGTTAAAAGTAAGTTCATCTGCTACTGAAACACAATAACTATCTGAGAAAACTGACCAGAATCCCTACAGTCCACTGTCTGCTCTAAACAAGGCTATTGACAATCCCTATGCTACTTTCCCTGAGTGTGAGCTAGGAGGAGAAAAGAGGACCAAACAAAGGTAATTTCAGACCATGTAAAAATAATAGCCTCACTGTGACTGAGCTTTAACACCTGACTGCATCCCAACAGCAGTGAAAAAGTGACATCAGCATCCGATGGGAAAAGCTATTCCCAGTGCTCTGTCCTTCATGTCACTCCCAAAATGACTGGACCTCATAGGTCAGCTCCATGTTATCAACACCTTGCTTCTGCTGAACTTCTGCTGGCCAAGCATTTGTGAGAAAGGACCCACATCACATCAGCAATAATTCCTATTTCCTGGCAGGATTTAATCCCCTTCCCTGCTCCATTTCCATCCTGAGCAAATAATTGAGTCTGGAAAAAGCGCAGTGCACGAGAGTCTGGGGCTTTTGCTAAATGAAGCTGTCACACCTCATCATGTCCCCACCGTGATTAGCTGTGCTAACAGACACGTAACATGGGTCTCACATGAGAAAATGTTGAATCTGTGGAGTGAATAAATCCTGACATTTGCATAAGGTGAGCAGGATCTGGCCCTCTGGATTGCAGTGAAGAAGGGCTGCACCTTGTGCATATCTGGAATGTCATCCCTGGGTCATGCTCCATGCTTTGGCATAAAGCACACTCACCCAAACAGGGAACAGTTCAAGGGATGGGCTTTCAACCAAATATTAAGCCCAAGTATAATAAAGACATGACTACAGCTGTGAACACAAACTGGCACTGTGCTGCAGCAGCTTTGGGAGTACAACACTGTAACCAAACTCCTTTATCTGAACCAGCTAAAGGAAGTGCAAACAGGCAGGACAAGCTTGCTGTTGAGATATCCTATTTGCCAATTAAATGCAGCTCACTAAGCAAAAGCCATATCTTTTACTATCCTCACACTTGGATTACCAAGTCTAAACCAGAAAACAAAAGTTACAGAAAGTTGTTTCCTTGTGTATTAATTTAATCTCTGCAAAAAATAAAAATAAAAAGGAGAAAACAAACCTTATTTCTTGCAAAATTTCCAGGAACAATAGCAGTAGTAAATGAATCACTTTCTGCTCATTGCTGGAGTATGATGGGGGTTCCAGATGTTCAAATTTCCAAACACAGCCGTAGGAATGTGACTCAATTCTAACTAAACTAGTGTGATTGCATTTAGTGAGAATTGAGTCACAGTCCTGTGCAGACACTGCTGCTGCGTGGCCTCATTACAGCCTCACTTCACCCCACTCCCATGGCTCAGGCTGCCTGCCACTGATGGATGGGACCATTTCCTCACCTGCAAATAAGATGGTGATGCTCATTTGCAAATCACCAGCTGCCTGCTGGGGGCAATAATTTCCTACCACCTCTGATCCAAGCTTGAAAAACTTTTTTTTTTTTTTTTTTTGAAAAAGTGCCAAAAGAAGTAGTACCAAAACTGAATCACTGCTCATAAAGGAATAGCTGAAAGGTAGCTTCAACTTTATTATAACTGTATGCAACCTATGGAAATAACATCTAACACTTAGCCATGTAATTAAATGCACTTCTTTCTCCACTGTAATGTAGAAATTTACTAAATACCTCATTAGAACAATTAAAATAAACTATGATGACATTTGAGCTCACTTGAGTGACTAGAAACTATCAGTTTTTACCACAGGTAACCAATCTGTGTAGCTCTTCCTTTGCAGCACATGCCCTCTGTGATCTAAGTGCTGGGGTTAGAATGTCTGTACAGGGATAGAGAGTGACAGAGTCACTGACCTCAGTGTCTTCTGAGGTCAGCATCCACACACAGGATGCAGATACATTTATAAATGTATTTTGTTCTTATATTAAATAATACCATTTTTTTTTTTTCCGTGGCAATACCAATCAGTGCTAATTATCCCAATACTTTCAGCAATAAAAGCAAACTTGTTTTGAATAACAAGAAAACATTTTGTTAAAGCACTGGCAGTCCTTCCCCATAGAAACAGCCTATGAGAAATGTATTGTAGCTTTGCTTGCCAGCAAAATCTACAGTCAAGAAAATTCCAATTCAGAACTGACACTTTGTTGCCTTCCATTAAAAACTTCAGCTAATGTAGGTCACAAAAGAAACCCATAGGAACAGTGCCACACAATGCAAGAGCCCCCAGCTGGAGTAACACTTAGCGCTTCTGTTGAAAAATGCACCCAGGGATCTCCGAGCAGTTATGAACTCAATTAATTAATTAGGGCTCTCAGCACCTCCATGACGCAGTGGGCACATTTATCTGCTTTATGAGTAGGGGAAGCAGAGGCACGGCGAGGTGGGGCATGCTGCCCGGGGCTGCCCAGCGAGAGACTTTCAGAGCAATGAACAGAATCTGAGTTATTGATTCCCACTGCTGCCCTTCGCTGTATTGTTCCTTTCCCCAAACCCCGTGCTGAGTTATGATCATTGTTGGCGTGATAACCATCGCGTGGCAATGCTCAGCAGAAATCTTCTTGCTCTTTGTTTGGGCCGTATTAAAACTTGAGCGTTATTTAAACTGCAGTTGATTTTCTCGGGGTGAGCAAACCCTGCAGCTACTTGAGCAATAATTCCTGCATTTCATTCCCAGCTGCATTCGCTTCTTACGTTGACAGTGTCCAAAAAGGCAGCTTAGGGAGCAGCACAGCTTTACGCTGTTTCGAGCAGGGATGTCATAGAGAGGCGCAGCGCTCGCGGGGCGTGCAGGAGGGCCCGGCGCGGCGGTGCGGGGCTCGCACGGAGCGGCCCGAAGGCCGCCGGCATTGCGGGAGGTGGCAGCCGCGCTCCCAGCTCACTCCGACTTTTCCAACAACAACCACCAAAAATCAAAGCGGCAGGAAGTTGCATCGGGCAGATCTCCCTTCTCCTGTCTCTGGGCTCCCCTGGGCGCACGATGAGGATGCTCCCACTTACCTCTCACACTGGCACGTCTGCGAGGCTCCACTCAGCGCCTGCGGACGGCTCCGACGCTGCTGCGGGGGGGGGGGCACAGATCTAAGCACCTCCAGTGCGCGGGGCCCGACCCGCGCCCCGTCGGCAGCCGCAGCGCCGCCGAGAGGAGACCCCGGGCCCGACGTGCCCAGCGGAAAGACGGGACGGGACGCGGAGACACGACGGTGCGGGAGCGCGCACTTTCTGCCGGCGGCCCCTGCTCGGCGCAGCCCCGCAGCTCCTCGGACCGCGAGTTTCTGCCGAGCAGCCCCAGGGCACGGAGCGGGGGGGCCGTTTTTCTACTCAGGAAGAAAGCGGCTGCCCCCTCCCGCTCCACCCCCTCCTCCCCGCCCTCCTTCCTTACCTCTCCCTGTCCTCCTCCTCCTCCTCCCCCTCCTCGCCCCAGCCCCTCACGCCATGGCGGCGGCGCGGTCCCGCTCCGCCCGCCGCCCCCACGGCAGCCCCCGGCCCCGCTGCCATTCCCGCACGGAAGCGGCGCGGCCGCCCCTTGTAGCGGGGTGCGCTTGTTGGAGCGCCGGCCGCAGAAAAAGGAAATGCGCACTCGGCCCCTAACTCCGGCTGTCGGAACTGCGGGTTCTGCACGGCTCTGCACGGAGTGTGGAGATGGAAGCAGCCAGGGGGGACTCGTTCAGTGTCCATCTCACCGTGCTGCATAATCATAGGATTATAGAATATCCCGAGTTGGAAGGGAACCATAAGGATCATCAAGTCTGACTGTCAGTCTATCACCACTAACCACATTCCTCAGCATCACATCTAAACGTTTATTGAATGCTTCTAGGGACAGTGACTCCACCACTTAACTGGTCAGGCCGTTCTAGCACCTGATCACTCTTCTGAGAATAAATTTTTTTCCCAGTATCCAATCCAAACCTCCCCTGGAACAACTTAAGGCCATTACCTCTCATCCTATCATTAGTTATATATGGAGAGGAGAGAGGGCCAACTTCCCTCTCTCCACAGCCTCCATTCAGGTAATTGTAGAAAGTGACAAAGTCTCCTCTGAGCCTCCTCTTCTCCAGATCAAACAATCCCAGTTCCCTCAGCTGCTTCCAGTAAGACTTGTGCTCCAGGCCCTTCCCAGATATGTTGCCCTTCTCTGGACATGTTCCAGTGCCTCCATGTCTTTCTGATAGTGAGGGGCCCAATGGAACATCTCACCTAAATGTCCCCTCAGAGTTCTTTTTCCCCACAATGAAACAACAACAACAAAAAAAAATCAGTTTGTCCATCTGCTCTTTGAAATGTGATGTGACTATATTTAAGCTTATATAAGCAAAAATGTGAAACATCAGCAGCATCCACACCAATCATCCTGACTTTTATGCAGCCACTCAAATGAAAAGTAATGGAAAATGGGACAACATAACTGATAGTTGGGAACAGCTGTCTTTGTCACTGATAACCAGGAAAAAGTACAAAACAAAGATTTTCAAATGTTTGTTGGCTATACAAAGCTGAGTATATTTCATCATCTTCAGACTATGGCTGGGATCCAAACAAAATCATTTACATGCAATAGCTCAGGATGCTGTACAGCCTCCTGGGGTTTCGATTTCCCAAAGCTTTTTCTTAACCATCACTTCAGTGGTGTTACTGAATCACGGCCTGGGCTGTAAGTGTACATACAAAACAAAACTAATTTTCTGAGGATAATTTTAAGCAAGCTTCATGGTTTATGGCAGTGTGATTTCCCTCTGTTCTACAAAGACTAATAAGCTTGTATGAACTCGGAGAAACTAAAAACTATACATTTATTTTTAATCCTTCCCTTCTGAGGTATTTCTCTGCCTATTGACAACCCTATTGGAATCCACCAGCAATTACTTCAAATTCAGAGTAGTTCCAGAGCCTGCAAGGAAGCCTTGCTTTGTACTGGTAGTGACATGCTGACAAGAAGGGAATGCTTCATTTTCAGTCATGCAAACATCAGATTAAGCGTTAGAAGATGTGTTTCTAAACACTATTTGAATGGTATTGGACTATAGAGCAGTTGTAAAATATTGGTGTTGTAACATGAATAAGCATGAGAAAAGCTGCATCCACCACCAGCCAGACATGGAGCAGAGGGAAAATGCATGAGAATTCCCACAACTGTTGGGATGCCTGTAGTGATAAGTAGGGAAATGTCCACATACTGGTCATATGTTAGCATCACATTATTACGTATTTAAATGTATTGAATCTAAGTAACACAGCATTGTTAACTTGCAGTTCTGAACAGCAATAATTCAAAACCTCATTTCTTGGTAGTACCTATCTGTGTTTCAGACAAACTGCACTATGCTGCTTTGTTGGAGTTGAATACCTCTAAGGCATACTGTGATCCTATAGAGCCTATGCACTCAGGTTCCTTTCTCAGAGGATGAGTTGAGATGTGCTTGGGTCTTGCTCTGACATGGAGATGGGCAGTGATGGAGAGCCACAAAGCCCCTCTGCTTTATGCCTTCTTGTATAAAATGAGCTCATTTTACTGCTCAGTAAACCATAAAGTACTTGTCAGGCTAAATAAATACAATGAAATTTATATGCAGTCATTCAGAGAAGCCTGACAGGCAGGAAATTTCCATTCTAGTTTAATTTCAGCTTTATGACTAATTGTTTTCTTTTTGCATCCTGAATGCGCTGCTTACTTCACAATCAGGCAGGCTCCCAAAATCAGGAAAGGCTTTTTCCAGAATTTCTGAAGAATTCTTAAGTTTTCCATTCATTTGTATATAAACAGAAGAATTACATAACAGGTCGAGGAAAAATCCTTCTACCGTAAGCAAATAACTCCTCAGATGGACTGCTGTGGTCTGCTTCAGCCACTGTATCATTTAAGAATGGAGAGAGGAGAGAACTGAGAAAGACCCCAGTAGTAGACATTATGTGGATGGGGAAATGGAAAAAATTATCCCAAGGAGGAGAAGACTGGAGGAAGATATGACAACAGCCTCCAGTTATATAAAAGATGCTGAAAAGAAGAGAGTAATCTCTTATCCACATCCTCTGGGAGCAGCCTGCAAGTTGCAGTAAGAGAATTTTAAGATAAGTAGGAAAAAAGGTATCTTTAGGGATAAATAAACTAGCAGGAGTAAATGGCATCTCTGTCCCTGAGGACTTTTAAGAACAGTTAAGCATGTATTTACCAGGAACAGTTCAGGTCTAGAAAATCTGATGGTGCTTGCCCTTAGAGCGAGGGGTACCTTGCTTATGCCCACATGACCTGTCCAGGTCCTTTCCAGTCCTCTTTATATGGTTAAGTTCCAAGTGTGGCTTGCCATACCTCTTGCAAACTATTTTCGATCCAGTCACATTAGGGTCTCTTTATAAATGCAGAGAGGACTAAGTGCTTTCAGAACAGAATTCATCTGACCTGTTTCAGACATCTTCTTTAGGAGGTGATGAATCATGCACCAGAGCTGTCTGTTCTTGCCACCAACACCAGGGCTGGTTTAAATGACCAGCATGTCACTGTACAATTTCCACTGCAGTGGTGCCTCTGTCCCTGACATCTTTCACTTCCTCTCTGCTCCCGAGAGTCCGAAGCCCTTTCTATTTGTTCCTTTTATTTTATTGGAAACTCCCATTGAGATTGGTAAGTTTTGTAAATAATATTTCCTTAAGTTACATCATTCAACACTGAAACATATAGCACATTTACCTTTTGGGTGGCATTGCTCCAGAACAGACTTAGGAGAGGAATTAAATTTAGCTATTGGAGCTAAAGACCATTGGCTCGGCCGTTGTGAAGAGCATGTTCTATGGAAATTGTCTGAAAACTACTCAGGTCAAAAACCACTCAACTCGTATGTCACACACTTTATTTATATTTCCTTGGCCTTTCTGGTAATGACAGCATTACCAGCAACATGAAAATCCTGGTGCCTTTGTGACTGAGAAAAATGTATGACACCAGCAGGTTTTAGTGTGCATAGAGGAGTCACTGCTTTAGACACAATGGACAATGAAGACAGTGAGGTAGGGCTCATCATTTCTGGAGGAGATACAAAATGCCTCCTAATGCTTCATGCATGTTAAAGCTCTTGGTTCTTACATAGCGTGAAAATGTGGGAAAGATTCATTTCTTTAGGACTGGAGATGCTAGCTTACAGAGAGAAGCTGTATGTCATTCTTTCTGTTTCACACACATGGTCTTGGTCATTTTTTGTCTTTCTTCCTCCCAAGTCAATGCAACAGTAATTTTTCTCCTTTTATTTTTCCTCTGTGATTTTTTTTCAAGTTTCACCCTCTCACTGCAGACCTATTATGTGTGATGTGTTCAGACTCTAATTTCCATGTAGGGGCACTTCTACTTTTCCCATTAAGTAACAAAAGTCTTCAAACGAAGAGAGAAAAGTACCAAATTCTCCAGATTCTTTCACTAATTCTCCAAAACAATTGATTTCCTTATGACTGTAATCCTTGTTTTCTCTTCATCTCTTGTGCTCAGCTGTGATGATTTCTGATCTCAGCTCTGTGAACTGACATCCTCAGGACAAGGGCATTGTGGCAGCCTCCTCCTGTCACTGAGCAGCAGAGTCACAGATCTACATCCTTGTACAATGCTCATCCTGCCCTTCTCGCTCTGGGCTGCTCTGTCTGGTGGTTCCCTCATGACTGCATTAGCATCACATGAAGGGAGCTCTAATTTTCAGAATTTATCCTAATTCCATGTGGGGGAATGTTGGATATGGCCTCTTTTCCAGGCAGGGTGTGGACCAGACAGTGTCCTAACTCGGTTGTTACTGCTATGTCCTTCAAGTTTATGAGAGTATTGCATGATTCATACCATTTACTACTTGGGGATTTTGGGGCCTGGCTCGCAGCACAGGCAATGGGCAGAAACAGTCACAGCTCCAAAGCCAAGTAATTGAAGGAGTGGCTGAAAACAACCCTGAGAATCAGAAGGAACTGGAGATCTGGAACTCTTTCCTAACTAGCTCAGATACCTTCCAGGATCTGTCACATGCAGCGTGGTAAAGAGCAATTTCTCTCTCAGGAACATCTAGCCTGATGTTCCCATGGGTCTGTCAGGTGCCAGGCACATTTATGGATTGGCACAATGCCTTAGTGCAACAAAGGCTTCTCCTCCCTGTGTCTTCTGCTACATCTACACAGTGGGCATGGTGCTGTCTGTCCCACAGATGGCTTTTGCTCCTTCATAGCCAAAGTACTGGTAGGCAGCTGGAAGGGGAAGGTACCAGCGGTGTTTCCTAAACAGTACTTTTTTATATGTAAATGAAACATCTTTCTCTGCTTTACATTTCCTTTGCTTCCCTCTCTCTGGCTCTCACCATGTGTTCAGCCTGGTTTAGCCTGAGGCCAGCAGACAAATTT